TTTGGTTGGATATATAAAAAATAAACTATAAAGATTTTTCTGTTCTTTTGGAACCGTGACTTTTTATTAACTTTTGTTTTTTTTTTTTTTTTTTTTTTTTTTTGCAGTAGAGTCTCATATAGCCCCAGCTGACGTGGAACTTGCTATGTAGACCATCCTCAGGTTGACCTCAATCTAACAGCAGTCCACCTGCTCCAACTGCAGAGTGCTGGGCCTAAAGGCATGCGCCCCCACACCCAGCTTGAACTTTTTAAAGCAGGCTTCAGGGTAAGGTACAGACAGTAGGTGCACCAGAATATATATAACAAGGCAATACAACACCCTAAGATAGCTTTTTAGAAAATTTTATTTCATTGCATATACATACACAATTATATAATTTTGTTTGGTAAAATTTTTACACTTTGGGTTCCAACAAATGTGAACTTAGAAGAGAAGCAAGATCCAGTACCTAGCTCCAGAAGGAGGCCTCCAGCAGAGGAGGGAGCAGTTTCTCCAGTTTCTTTCCTCTAGTGTTTTGTACATGAAAAATTTAATGTAACTTTTAAAAATTATTATAAATCTATTTCAGAACTTAGAGTATCATTCCCTAAATTAATACAGCAGTATCTTGATTGTAGAATTACACTTTAGTTTTCTTGGTTGTCATCCTGGGAATGAGCATACTAAATTAGTATAGCCAATTTTTATCTTCCATTGCCCTAAGTTAAAAACACTTTATTATAATAGTTCACAGTAAGACAAGTTTCAGTCATTTTCTACCATGAATGAAACAGGCAGACTCTTAAAAATGAGTCTTTTGGAATCCATTCAAGCCTTCAACATCATCCACACAGAGCAGCTGAATAGATTCAGAAATGCATGTTTTAACCTTGAGCCCACTAATTGCAGTATGCATATGAGTTAGATGTGTGTAACTCCAGGCAAGTGCTCAAAAGAGGCAGGTCCTATTTTTGGAAGGTATGGCTATATTTCACAGTGAGAATCAGCCAGTCGTACCATGTCCCATTGTTTATTTTAAGCCTTCTCCAAAAGGCCAGAGCCAGGGTCATAAGCCCACACTGAGAGCAGACTGTGTCCTGGCCTGCCCACTCCCACCTTTGGTATCTGTCTGGCAGAGGACATACCTGGAGATGATTTTGTGAAAAGTATAGCGGAAGTCTTGGTTCCGGTAGGCATACACAATGGGATTGACAACTGAATTGGCATGGGACAGGAGAATGGCCACATTCATTACCCACTTGGGTTTCTCCTTAGCCAGGTCTGGCTGGAAAAGAGTGACACAGTTGATGGCATGTACTGGTAGCCAACACAGAGCAAAAATGCCCACAATCATAGCCAGGGACTTGGCAGCATGGATCTCCCGCTGGAGAATAGTCCTCGAATGGTCCATCAGCTCTGTACGCTGAAGCTGCTTGCAGGCTACCATGAAGATTTTGATGTAGATCACCAGCATTATGAGCAATGGGGGCAGGACACACCCGAAGAAATTGAAATATACCATGTAGCTCATGGGAACCACATTCTCAAAGAGGCACTTCACAAGACAGCAGCTTTGATTCATAATTCCATCCCCAGGTTCTGTGCAGTTGGTGGCACTGTCTTTACTGTTCCAACCCAGGAATGGAGTCAGTCCAATGCCAAAGGCAAGGATCCAAAGGGCAGCAATGACACCTCTTGCTCGGATCCCAGTGACCAAACTTTTATACCTGTTCAAAAGAACATCTGTTAGTAGTCAGTTTACAGTATTGGTCAACCAGAGCCCTTTAGCTTCTGAACCTTGAGGGTTTACCCTCCAGTGCACCATGACCACCTCAACTAGAGACATGCAAGCATGTGTGAGCTGCTTTGCTCCAGCAAGCTCTTTTTTTTTTTTTTAATGCGTATGAGTGTTTTGCCTGCTTCAGACTCTGGGACGAAACATTTCTGGATATCTGAAAACCACTAGGGAACAAAATGTTTTTTCTATAGAGAACTGCCAACAGCAGAAAAAAAAAAAAATATTGCTAACTGGTCCATGATTTGTTACATGTGTTTTCCCTTAACTAAATGACAACAACCTAAAGATGGACCATATCCTTTTGTGTTGGTATCCCCAGAACAGTGCCCAGCATGTAGTAGCTTAGTTTTTTTTTTCCTTTTTTGACAGGGTCTCCCTAGTAGTCCCAGTCTACCTGGAAGTCACTATGTGGACCAGGCTGGCCTCAGTCTCACAGAGATCCACCTGCCTCTGCCTCCCGAGGGCTGAGATTAATAGGCGCATGTCACCACACCCAGCATACAGGTCCTTAATAATGGCCATTATGAATAATTTCTCATTTCTTTCCTGTTACCCAGCTGCTCTGAAGCAATACTGTTTACTAGGAATACTTGATGCTGTGTCCTGGCCAGGCAGGAGAACAATACAGTTTGCCGAGGAAACTGTTTCACCTGCAGTGATCTCTTAATCTTTGCTGCTTCCTGGAAGGTCTCCTCCCAGCAATGGGCAGGTCAGTTGAGGGGTCAGCTTGAACCACTGGGCTCAGCTGCTCACTAAATTTTTCTTGGCCAGTGATGAAACCTTTTTAAAAATGTTATTCCTTGCCATTGCCTCAGCAGAGATGTCAATGGCACAGTTAGTCTCTGTGGGATAACAAAAAGCTTCCCGGAACTCAGAATTCTGTCCACAAGACAGCCTGCTCTATGGCCCTGCCCTTCAGAGGACTAAACTGTATTGAGTACAGCTGACTACAGGTCAGCCTTGGTGAACAGAGTCTGTTTGGGATAAGCAATTCATAGCACTTCTGTTGGATTCTGAGTTGGATAGTGAGATAGTTCTGGCCAATGAGACAACAAAGCAAGTTTGCTAGGAACCTCCAAGGAAGATTTTTAATTTTTAATTATTTTAATTTTTAGGTGTATGAGTGTTTTGCCTGTGTGTCTGTAAGTGCACCACATACATGCAATGCAATGCCTGCAGAGGCCAGAAGAAGGCATCAGATCCCCTCAAACTGAAGTTATAGACTGCTGTTAGCCAACATGTGGGTGCTGGGAACCAAACCCGCATCCTCTGCAAGAGCTGCCATTAACCACTGAGTCATCTCTCCAGCCCCTGATTTTTATTCATTTTTGGTTTTGAGGGTTTTACTACATATCCCTGGCTGGCCTGGAATTTCCTATGTTGACCAGGCTAGCCTTTAATTCAGAGAGATCTACCCGCCTTCTGCTGAGATTAAAGGTGTGTGCCACCATATCCAGGTATGCCATGTATTTTTGTTTTGTTTTGTTTTTGTTTTTGTTTTTTTTTTGTCTTTTTGAGACAGGGTTTCCCTGTAGCCCCAGCTGGCCTGGAATTCGCTATGTAGACTACGCTGGCCTATGCCATGGTTTTTTATTTTACTTTTAAAAAAAGCAAGCTGGGTGTAGTGGCACATGCCTTTAATCCCAGCACTTGGGAGGTAGAGGCAGGCAGATCTCTGTGAGTTCAAGGCCAGCCTGGTCTACATAGTTCCAGGACAGCTGGGGCTACAAGGAAACCCTGCCTCAAAAACACCAAACAAAACCACCATTCGGGAGGCAGAGGCAGACAGCTCTCTCAGTGACTTCCAGACTGCAGACTAGGCTGGTCTATATAGTAAGTTCCAGGCCAGCCAGAGTTAAAGCCTGCAAGATTGCTCAGAGGGTAAAAACCAAGTTCAATATCCAGGACCCACATGGTGGAAGGAGAAAACTGATTCCTGCAGGTCTGACCTCCATACTCACACCATGGCATGTGTGCACTCACAAATAAGTAAACGTTTTTAAAAGAAGAACTGGCTGTAGTGGTGCACCCCTTTAATCCTAACACTTGGGAGGCAGAGACAGGCAGAGCTCTGTGCTATCTAGGCCAGCCTGGTCTCCATAGTGAGTTCCAGGCCAGCTATGGCTACAGGGAGACCCTGTCTCAAACCTACCTCCACCCCCAGCAAAAAAAAAAAAAAAAAAAAAAAAAAAGCAGTGTTAGATATGGAATGCCCTGTTCATGAGGGCAGCTTCCCATAGAATTCAAAACGAATAAAAACCAGGGACTGGAGAGATGACTCAGTGGTTGATGCAACTCTTACAAAGGATGTGGGTTCGGTTCCCAGCACCCACATTGGAACATCTCAGAACTCCTGGATCCTGAACATATGAGTAACTTCCATGCTAGATTGTCTTGGATAAGTAAAACAACCAAGTCCATCAGGGAAGGAGCTGGTTATAGCTTGGCTCTGTAAACTCCAATTACCACAACTCTTCCACTGCTCATTACTTCACTGAATGAATTTTCCTTTGTTCTGTGCATTCTGCTAGACACCTGAAACCTAATTCCTGCCCTCATCAAACAAGCTAACGGAAGAGACAGAAATAAACAAGTAAACACACAGATAATGTCCTTATGATTGAGATAGGTTCAGCTCTACCAAAATGAATAAAATGGAATAGTATAATACAAACAAGGAAAGCTCCAGTATAGGGTGTCATAGTGGGCTTCTCAATCAAAAGCTATTGATGAGCAGGAGTAAAAACCTCAACAGTGAGAAGATGCTAGGCAAAACACACTTTTAGACTTTCAAACAGGTAAGGTAATTACTTTCTTCAAGAAGCAAAAGCAAATGAAAGATAAGGCAGGCAACAGTTCACAGGCCATGGGGAGTCACAGAAACCTTAACAAGCCAAAGGAATGGCACTGGTTTATGGTGCAGAAAGTCACCTGGCCACAGTGTGGAGAGCTGAATTTTAGGGGAACAAGAGGAGAACAGAGAGGTAGCCTAGGAAACTATTCCAGTAGTGGATTCAAGAAAAGATGCTCACTGGGACCAGGATTTGAGCCAGGATGATGCAATGGATACCAGGAACAGAATCAACAGGCTTTGAGGATGGATTTGATGCAGAATGATGGAGAGTCAAGGAAGATGCGTAACTCCTAAGGGGTTTTCCCCCATATACTAACATTTACTGAAAGAGGAGTAAGAAAAAGAAAAAGGCTGGGTGCAGGAAGATTAAGGTCAAGGGAAGAATGGTGGTTAGTTACTTGATGAAGATGATCCTAAGATACAGGAAAAAAATATGGGGTGTTGGCCGTGGTGGCATATACCTGTAATCCTAACACAGGAGATGGGGGCAGGAGGATCAGGAGTTCAAGGCCATGATCAGTTGCATAACAAGTTCAGGGCTAGAGTGAGGTATATGAGGCTATTTCCATCTCCCCAAAATAAAAGAGGTTACTAAGGAGGAGGAGATTCAAAGATATAGGGTGCAGAGCCTGTGAGAAGGTACACTGCCTCAGCTGTGACAGAAGAAAAGAGAACAAGGCTAGTACAGGGAGAAAAAAGGTTGGATAGTGGCATGATAGGGGCAGCATCTCCTCTGAGAACTGTTGTTATATCACAAAGCACAGAGAAGGTCATCAACTAAGGAAGGGATGGGGAGGCTAGGACACGAGGAGTTGTCATCTTGGAGAGAGGAGGGGAGTTTGCCAGGAAAACAGGTGGCCTTTGAGATCTTAATGGTGGTGCCACTTTGTGGTTGACAAGGTACAGGCTGGGACTACAGGAGTGGAATGAGGAAGAGGGAGAGGAATACTGAGGAAGTGAAAGGACAGACAGGTACTAGAGGTGGGTGGTAAGTTCACCAGGAATAATGACAGCTGTGCAGGAATGGAAACGACTAGGAAGCCAGAGTATGTCAGCAGAGAGAGAGAGTGAGTGGTATGTCTAGACAGTGGAAACTTACAAAGGGATGTCTTTCTATAGAAGCTAGGGTCTTCTATAGAGGTGGGGAGAGAAGAGGGCAGACCTGATCTGTAGCCCAATCCCTGCCTAGGTCTTGGGGCAGGCAGCAGTAAGGGATGTAGCATCCCTGGGGGTTGAGGCTGAATGGAGGCTAGATGCTGGAAGGGGCACTGTAAGAAGAGGTGGAGGACCAAGGCTTTGGTGATGCTTAGAAAGTACAGAGTAGGAAGGAGAGATGAGCCCATCTAGCAAGGTGTGCAGGGCATTGTAGGTTTAAAGTCAGTTATTTTCTGAGGATTTGAAATACTTAGCTAAAGATGAAATACATCATCTTTAATACACAATGACACTTTAAAGGAAAAAGGTAAAAAGATGGGTTCATCACCACTTTCTCCATCTAAATTCCCCCTAGCTGGCAGACAGTGCTCCACACTATCAGCTTTTGAACCACCTAACCAGAGGCCAAGTTTTGGAGACAAGTACCTGGACACACTGCTTCCCAGATGAACCATCAGTAGCAAGGAGCCACCAGTACCTGAGCCTTTCCCCTGGGTCACACTGCCCTGTAACATATATCTCACTAAACCATGGTTCTTGGGGTGGAACTGCCAGTCTCGGGATATACCTGTGGAAAACAGGGTTCAGAGATCAAATGCTTTGCCCACTAAATCACAGAAACCCAAAGCCAATCTAATTCACTCCAATGTTGCCCAAAGTGGTTATTTTCCCGCTAAGGGCCCGCCAGCTCTTCAGCATTCATCTCACAAATGCCAGCTCCCCTTCTGCCTGTCACCCAGCCCCAAGTCAGCTACTTCAGCTTCTTCCCTCAACTGCCTGCCAAGTCTAGAAGCCCTGACTCTGCAAGCAGCACAAGGGAATCAGGACTTGAGGGAAGTGGCTCTATTACAGCCTCAGGAAAGAACTGCAGGCTTTTCGCTTAGCTGGAAGACAACCAACTCCATGACAGCAAGCAGTTG